TTTTTGAGACAGAGTCTCACTCTGTTGCCCTGGCTAGAGTGAGTGCTGTGGCGTCAGCCTAGCTCACAGCAACCTCAAACTCCTGGGCTCAGGCGATCCTACTGCCTCAGCCTCCCGAGTAGCTGGGACTACAGGCACACGCCACCGTGCCCGGCTAATTTTTTCTATATAATTTTAGTTGTCCGATTAATTTCTTTCTATTTTTAGTAGAGACGAGGTCTCCCTCTTGCTCAGGCTGGTCTCGAACTCCTGAGCTCAAACAATCCGCCCGCCTCGGCCTCCCAGAGTGCTAGGATTACAAGTGTGAGCCACCGCGCCCGGCCTTCAGTTGATATATCTTGAGCAGAGTTTGACAGCTTTACCCTTCACTGTGTGAAATAATATTTCCTTAGTTATAGACTTAACTTTCAAGTTTTCAGCCAGACTCCATCTGAGATATGGATGATGTCTGTATCTTACCAGAAATCTCAATGGCTTGGAGAGAATTACTCTTTTTTTGTTGTTATATTAACCAATTCTCCCTTCCCCTTCTTCCCTTTCTCATTTCCTCCCTTCATTCCTTTCTTTCATTACTTTGAGAATTATTCTTTTGGTCTGTCTTCATTGGCCACAATGGTTGCCTTCTCCAGAATTTTCTCTTCTTTCACTCTACTGCGTGTGCCAAACAAATTGAAATTTTTACTGAAGTGGTAGAAGAAGACTATGATGATACTTCAAATACAGTTCAGTTCTGAAATTGTTATTATCTGACAGTTCTAGAACTGAATTTGAATAAAGAATAACCAGTTTTTATGACAGATATGTCCATTCTTAAGAGACTATCCATTTAGTCCTTGTTTTCTGCTTTTAAAATGCATAAGAATTTTTGATAAAGCCTTCTCCTCAATTTTAAGATGGTTCTTAATTTTTGGGTTAAAAATCTCTAAAAACTACTTTAATAATAAATTATACCATATATTTACTGCCTTGCCCTTATGATTTACATGTAAATGTATTCCATCAAAAAAAAAAAATCTAATCTTAGCATGGGGTAAAAGTCCTCAGTCCATTGACCAAGGTTTCTTTTGGACAGTCTAATCCTCCCCTGACAGTGCCTGCGTATTATTTTTCTTTTTTATTATTTCACAAACTAGTTTTATTTCTAACAGTCAATAATCCAAGATCATAGAGAATCCTTCACAAAATACAATTCTTTCTCTTCTCCCTCTTTTTTTTTTTTTTTTTTTTTTGGTTCCAATTCCTACTTTGAATCTCATCACATTTGTGGGCTTATTATCTGTGCTTAGGCTCATTTAATTTTTTTAAATAAAAATTTAAAAAAAATGTTCCTCTTTGTTTCAATAGACTGTGGACTTAGCTGATCCTTTCCCACATAAACACAGACAGAAGTATTCACTGCAAATTACCATGCACAGTGCCCCAAATATGTGTTCCACATGATACGCATTAAACACAAATGTATGCATAATATGAAAACTCAGAAATAGCTATCAGCTAAATTACACATATAAATGTGACTATGATTTTATATGGTGTGTATATTAGCAGTGTTTTAAATTCTTTCTTTCTCTCTTTCTTTTTTTTTCTGGCTAGGAAAGTTGCTTCTAGTCCACAGGATAGAGTTATATTAACATTCCATGATGTTCTTTAGTGAGAACATGACTTCTCATGCTTTGGTACTTGAATAGATATGAGAAATGTTTTTCTATAAGCAAAACAGGGGTAAGTACGAAAAGCTGGCCCCCAAAATTAAGACCTCCAGAAATTAAAAGTAATTTAAAATTCCTTACATCAGGCCGTAAGGTGAAAGGAGAGTTAGTTTGCCTCATGCCAAGTAAATCAGACATTCACATATGTTTAAATTAAAAGAATTGTTCTGAAAGCAAACTAGACATTAAAACCCATCTATACCTATTTACATTAAATATTAATTTATTTGAACAGAAAAATAAGAAAGTATACACAATACCACTAAAAGAGTCACGTGATATAGTAGAAATGGAAAGTGCATAGTAAATAAGACCTATGTAAATGATAGTTACTTATACCACTGATTTCTCCTCTTTTATACCCCATTTTACCAGGATTTCAGAATGGGCAACACAATTAAATAATTTAAGCTTATATTTGGTGAATGACCTAATCTGTACTTTTTGTACACTTCCCCTGCTGGACCTATCCATATACCAAGCTGTGCAGTTGAGGCTTAGGTACTTCTTGTCCCAGAGGTGTTTTAGATCCTATCCTAATCCCCAGAATCCAATCTCTTGGCTCTGTCACTAACCTCTGACTTGGAATTGGATGGCACATTCTCTTTTCTCACAGGCTTTGACTGGCCTCTCTGCTGCAGTTCCTACTATCCTGGGCTCTTTTGGAAACACAATATCTCAAAATATCTCTAACCCTGGAGAACACAGAGAGACCACAGTGGACACTGAAGTACACAATGTGGCTTTGCAGCACTGGAAATGGTCAACAGTGGCTGACCACTCTGCCAGGCTCTTGTCTGGTAGGCTTCGAAACTCCCTTTGCGATCTGTGACAGGTGAAGGGATACCCAGGAGGAAAGAAAGACTTTTTAGAATTATGCAAAAAGTCAGAACATTTGATTTCATGTCCCATTTCAACCTTACTTATAACTTCAAAGCAAAAGCTTTGTAATCAGTAATCTCGTTTAAAAATTAACAAGGTCATGCTCCTGCCAAATACCCATTTAAAACCATGCTATTTCTGTGGCATGTTAAAATTTTATTGCTGAAGCTTGAAAATTTGAATTAAGTTTATTTGTTGAGTAACAGCCTAAAAGTTTCTGTGGCCAATTTCAAGCTGCTGTGAAGAACATCTAGGCCAGGAAAAAAGCCAGGCAAGCTAGTATTTTTTCCCCAAGTAACCAGCTGTGGTTTGAGTTAAGTGCACTGCCTCTTATCAGGTTTGCAGCTTTCAAAGTCTGCAACGACATCATGGTGGGGCCTTGGTTCTTCATCATTCAGGAAAATACCAGCTGGCAGTCACTGGCATGATGAATTCAGCACAGGAGAGTGTCATGTGTGATCAAGGTAGTTTGGGGAGGATAGGAAAGACACAAAAGTATTATTGCCCCAGGGAAAGACTGTTAAATAACCAGTCTGAATTGCTGATGGAAGGAAAGGTTAAGAGCAGGGCTGTGACTGTCCTCCAGCTTCTTGAGGAAGGATTTGACCTCAAGCCAAATTTCTTACAACTCTGAAGGCTGATCAGAGTCCTGAAGGATCTGCCATTATTCATTATTAGTCCAAAAATGAATGTTCCTTAGCCGGCTGTATATGGTATCAGGACTGTTCATTGTATAACTTATAATTTACGACTGCAGCCTCACTAAACATGGGAACGAGTCACTTGCCCTATCAAGAGCTATGTGGCTAGCAGGGTATTTTAGCTGAGAGACTCCAGACGTGGTGGCTTCCCTTATCAGTTCCTTGTCAACCTTAGGACAAAAATGCATCCCTTGTGGCGACTGCAGAGTGACCCTGGAAGCTACACTGGAGTGTCTGAGTTCTGTGTAATACTACTGCTGTGCTTCCTGTTATGTACTCTTCTTAGTTAAAATCAGAGTGAGATAAACCAAGAGCACCTTGTGAATTTCATAATCTGAACCTACACTTACTACTGTGGTCTGCAACTGGCAAATGCCTTGCTTATAAAAACAATAATTTCTAGGTCAAGCTATCATTAAGCATACTTTGTCTTGCCCCCAAGGAAGAGCAATACTTGGCTTTTACTGTCTTAGAGTCCTTGAACTGTTTCCTTTAATTCTATCTATATTATCCTGGCAGTAAGCAATAATCCTAGGCACATTGTACCAATCTACTCCACACGATGGTCCCGTTGAACTGGGAACACTCTGTGAGTTTTCACATGGAAAAACCTGTCAGCTTGTTTAAAAAAGTGGCATATGTAATAGCAGCTCTGACCCCATGGTAGGAATCTGTAACAGTTTCTCGTAGAGTGATTCATATATTACAAAACCAACTGTGAAACACCATGGTACATTTTTCCACAAATTCCTTAAAAAAAAAAAGATAGGCATAGACATTACAAGATAAAAATTGCTACATAAGCATGTTATCTTTTTAATAAACAAAAAGAAACATGCTGACTGAAAGTCAGGCAGATTAGGAGCTTCCAAGAAGCCACAGAGGTGGCTCATACATGTGATTTTTGAGACTAATTGCATAAAACCCTGGGAAATAATCAAACTTCTATTATACAATGTCTTTTCAATTTCATGTCTTGAAAGGAAAACATGTACCCTGCAATTTATGTAATATCTGTTACTTATAAAAATATACCCAAACTTAGCTTCTATAAAACCGTTTTATTTATTTAATTAATTACCAGCTAGGAGGTCTGCCGATGCTGATGAGCTAGAAGCAGCCTGAGATGCAGGTTGGGGTTCAGAAGCACTACTTCCAAATGCATCTATCCATTATCCATTAGGCAGCAGAAAAGTAAGAGAGTGTAAACAGTAAGTAATTTAAGTATTATGCAGAGAAATGCATAAGCATGACACTGTACGGTGAGCTGTCTCCTGTGGGTTTGCGAAATGATTGAGTGAACAAAATTATGTTCTGACCAGTTTATTCTCTCGAAAAGAGTTCTAAAATATTTAAGAATTAACACCTTTTTGTAAGATTAAGAGAATTCCTTTTTTTTTTTTTAAATAAAACTTTTGGACTAAATCCTGTCATCTATCAAAATAGCTGATCAAAGTTTTAAAATTTTTACCAAAAGGTAATAATATAGAATTGTTCCATTTAGAATTCTATTGAACTTTTAAAAATTTTCATAAATTTAATTCGAGCAGCAGCAACATTACTTGTACCTATATATCAAGGTTCAGTGTTTGTTTGACACAACTTTTGAGCCCTCTAGTGTCAGAGACCGTGACATCTTTGCACCCTTAATGTATCCATCATGGTGTACACCATGGTGCTTCAATGTACAGCAGGTACTCGATGTGGACTGAACTTTCTAAGGATGATATTTTAGCCCAAAGCTATATATATATTTATGGGTATTCATGAAGAAATCACTTCAGACCTTTTTTTCTACAAATTTACTGCTAACAGAAGCTTTAGACGTATAATCCAAATGAGTAGCTCGAGTTAATTCAGTACATCTCTCTGACTTCAGATAATATACAAAGGAAGAGGAGAATACATTTAAAACATTTAAATCAGCAACACATTTTCCAATCCTTCGAATTCTCTGGAGGGATTTTAAAGCATTAGACTCAACAAAAATAAACCCTACAGAACAGTGCACAACATCTAGAGCTTATGCTTTCAGTTTTAGCTGGCTTATTTCTTTTCAATTCTAAGTTATCTAGTTCATGTTTGTATTGCTTTTAAGAACTTAGAGATGTTGATTTAGGCCAGATCCAGATCACCAAGGAAGAACAGTAGAAGGAAGTTCCAATCAGGTGATTCTATATTAGGATGAACAAAAAGTGGAAAACATAAAGACTGCAAATGAAAAACTACCTAGTTTTGTTAGGTCATGCACTGAAAATTATGGTGAACTGATGAAGATGAAGATGATGGCAAAGAAATGAAAAAGATCTTAAAAACTTAAGTTTACATTTAAGAGATGGAAATAACTTCACATAGTTGAAAGAAAAAACGATGAAATAGAATGAAATAGAAGATCTAAAAATGATTCTGAAGGAAAAAAAAAGATTCCTAGGTGTTGAAGGAGGAGAGATACGCACCCCCAAAAAGGTCTATCACACCTGAAGAATCCACCTTTGCTGGAGAGGCAGTGGTTGCAGGAGATGGTGCTGCAAATGTATCCACTGCAGTGAAGCACAGAACAGGAAACAGTGCACGTCACCCAGAGGGAAATAAAACCTTAAGCCTTGACAAATGGCATCTTGAGATTTCATGATTAACTCCAGTCAGGAAGACTGTGGACACTCTTAACAGTTTAGGAAAAACAAATGGATTTTTAAATATATACTTTCTAGAATAAAATAAAATTTGACTCCTTAAGGTCAGAGGTTTTAGTGTGAAAAAAAGTTTTCTCTTTTCATCAGGCTTAGGATGTGAAATATTAACCCTCATCAGTTGGTGATGGGCCAAAGAATCAGACTTTTTTTCAAAATAAATTTTGAGTTTAAAAGAACTTAAGACAAACCCACGTGTTGTCACATCCACCTCTCTGCGAGTAACCCCCACAAGACATCTTTGAAGGCTTGACCTTACAAAGCACTCACCGGATAAGAGGTCAGCAGTGAGAGAACTCTCAGGCACAGGAGAGGCCCCTTGTGGTGGAGAGGAGAAAGCATCTTCCAAAAGTGAAACAAACCAAAACCAAGCAGAGGTAAGTAGTAGAAAGCTGAAATCAAAGTCAAAAATCTAACAAATGCATTATCACAGGTGAGTACAAAGAGCTTAATCATGAAAACATCTAAGAAAATGAAATTGAAAAAAAGGGTTGCTTTGGTTTTACCTGTACCAAACAGGTCTATGCTAGGAGCAGCATCCGGTTTAGGCGCTGCAGCGACTTCAGGTGCAGACTCAAACAAATCTAAGACCAAGAACACACATGCCTTTACTCAACTTGAACAAGCCTGAAACAGCATCACTTCCCAGTTCTGAATTAGCACTTTGCAGAACTCTGAATTAAGCAGCAAATGGTTTCTAGAGAACCATTTAATTACATAGTCTGCATGCAATAATAGTTGTGTATGCAGTACAGCTCAAGGGCCAGAATTCAATCCACCAGATGGAAAGAGTTCAACAACAACAGAAAATTACCACCAAAGATATCTAGAGCAGGAGGAGCGGTGGTGGTGGTGGCAGCGGAGGTGGTAGTAGTGGTGGTGGCGGCGGTGGCAGCGGTAGTGGCAGCAGCGGCAGCTGCAACAGCAGGAGCAGGAGAAGGAGCAGTTGCGGGAACTGGAGGGGCTGTGCTAGCTGTAGGGGTAACTACAGGAACACTGGTCTCTGGTGGCTTCATTGCAAATAGGTCCAGCTCGGGCGCAGCCTCTGCACTACCTTCAGATGGAGCAAAGGGGTCTTTTGGAAAGGAAAGTGGAGACACATACAGCATCAGTAAGGAAAGAGACAAGAGAGCGTCATCCTAGGGGTAAGAGTCACCGTACACAGATATTTACACACTAGCTAGGTGCGAGGTTGCTTGGATTTAACTGCTATCCTATCGGCAGGGGTAAGTGATTAGAATGCTTTTCTAAAGAAAAAAGAAAACTCAGTAGGTACCACAAATTTAGAAACGGAAACACTTTGCAAAGTGCCATAAGATTAGCCTATAAGCTGGGAGTAGAGATTGTCATCTTTCAGTCTTACTTAATTAGTCAATTTGGTAGCTTTGAAAATTCATTAAAACATGCCAATATATTTGAACTCAATGTTACAAAAGAGTGCAATATAGCATTAGAGAAAAAGAAAACATTAAGAGAGCATACTTGTACTGACAAAAATTGTCAATCTTAAGAAATTGCCAATTTTGATAAGTATGCACTCCATCATCTTAATGTTTTAAATGCTGGCATTATTTATCTAGTTATGATGAATGAGACTTTACACTCAGAAGAAAATAAAATCAGAAAAACACATGGCCATATCTAATTACAGGGGTTTCACATTAGGACAGAAAAATAACAGACTGGCGCGTGACTTTAAACCCACCATTTCCTGAACATGCATCAAGTGCTGCTGCTACAGGGGTTGGGGTAGCTGGTGCGGCGGCCCCTTCGGATGCTGCAGGGGCCTCCCCAGGAGAAGCTGCAAAGGCATCTTGGGTGCAGTTTTTAAAACAATAGAAATTAAAAGAATAAAAAGAGAAGAAAATATAGTAAAAGAACCAAGTTAAATTGTGAAGAAGGCTCCCTTATACAACATGAATTTTTTAAAATGCATTTTTATGGCCCATGCAATGTTGATGGTCACAAAACAATTACTCTTTGCGTACCTTTGTGTCAGTTAACATGCAAGTGATGTAGTGTTGATACTGCTGAGGCCTATCAGGATCCAAAAGGTAACAAGATTCTCATTGTATAAGGGCTCTAAGAAGCATGTTTTATGCATCATTAGAAATTAATGGATGTGAAAATTAAAACACAAAAATAACTACTATGTAATTTAAGACATTAAACTTTCATGTCCAGGCAATACTTATTCACTGTGTTATTATAATGTCTCTGACTAGTGGCTTCTAGCAAACATGATGTCTCCTTTAATGTTAATAAAATTAAATATATGATGGCAATGTAAACAAACAATTCTAGCTTTAAAATTTTTTATTATCTAGTACAGGCAAAATTACATGAAAGTTTAACATGAAAGGTTTACTAAGTGTTCATAAATATTAAGTCTTCACTATCCTTGAAAAGCATTTTCAGATATAACCAGGAACTTATTTTAAAGAAATAAGGAGATAAAATTAGGGTATGATACCATAATACTATTATATTTTTCTAGTTGTTTGGAAAATGATCTATTTTTAACAGATTAAAAATATAGTTTCATATTTTAAGACTATATTATCATTTATAGTAGAAAACCATTAACATACAAACAACCGTAGTTTATAAATGCCCAATTTACAAATGGCTGATGTGTACAAATGGTTTCCAATGTTATTCTACCAACAAACCGCGTTAACTATAGTAAGAAGTCCTGGAGCTTGCATAGAAACTCTCTAGTTTCAAAAGTACAGAAGGAATCAAGTCATCATAAGTATGACAGGCTTAGGAAAGGAAACCTCTGGGAGGTGGGGACCTGCACCCACCTAGAACCTGCCACTTACCTGCTAGACTTCCCATCCCAAAATACCGTCTTCCACAATATCTACCAGTGTTTCCTAGAACACCGTTCCTCCAGTCATTAAAAAAGTTTGTCAGATATGCTTGAGAAATGCTACCCAGTATATCCTCCTTCCTGGAGATTTACTTAGTATATTAGGCTCCAGGAAGTTCTGCAGTCAAGACACTTGTTTCTCAGTTTAACCCAGCATGTCCCAAACTGAGAGGAGTATGAAACACTCTGTAGTAATGCCCTGAGGTCTAGTGTTATGTGGAATAACAAACATTAAGTCAGAGACTTATTTGGGTTAAAAGGTCCTTTACAAAAACACAAATATCCCTAGAAGGGAAAATAAGCATCAGTTATTTATATCTTACAGATTAATTTGATCTGATTGCTTCTCTCAGCTATACTGAGGGTATATATGTTCTGAGTAGAGGTCAGGGGAGAGGTCAAATGAATAATACTAAAGAATGAAAAATACATCAAGGCACAGGGCAGGCCTACTTCCTAGATGCCACGTTAAGGATACTATACTTGAGGACTTAGAGCAACATGAAAACCGGAAGATCAGGGGCAGAAGAACACAAGAAAGGTATAAGACAAGGTTGGGAGGTCTGGAAATATCTTGCCATGAGTCAGGTGTGTTTTCATTCTTTTGATTCCTATAGATCCTGGAACTGAGACTAATAATATTGGGAAGAGTCAAAATAGTAATAGCAGTCATATTCTGGGGACATTATTAAATTTAATTCCTGCAACTGTCTTGTGAAGTAGATTATCTCTGTTCTATAGATAGAAGAACCAAAGCTTAAAGATTTTAAGTGTTCTCACCATAAACAATAGTAAGTGAGGTATGCATATGTTAATTAGCTCAACTTAGCCAATCCACAATGTATACATATTTTACATTATGTTGTATATGAAATATATTATTTTTGTCAATTAAAAAAATAAATTACTTTTCGAAAAAAATCTGAGTGACTTGACCAAGGTCAGCAAATAGAGTTAGCATTTGGCCCACAGTTGTCTGACTGAGCTTTGTGGATTTAGCCACCCTCCAGCATTGTTATGTATGAACTGTCACTTTCTACGACACTATTTCCCCCTTTTAGTATAGAATAAACATCAGTGAAATTAGTCCCAAGGGTCAAGTAGATATTCATGGACTGATCTCTTTAGGTTATCACTTATGTGTAAGTAAATGAAAGCCATATTGTTAAGGCTACATCCTCAAGAGAGGTTCCCCCGAACCCCCATCAGCAAAACATCTCCTTTTAATGCTTCTCTTGTTACATAAACCTAAACATTATGAACTTAACTCACCTGCTCCTGTCAACACTTTTCTTAAAGGGAGGAGCCCCAGCTGCTCCCAACCCCAGCCGCTCCCAACCCCAGCCATTTTGAGTCTTCCCAGCCCAGGAGAAGGAGATGTGAATGAGCCTCCAGATGGCACTAAGCCCAGTCACTGTCAACCGTAGCCAGGAAAGGGACCTTGAGCAAGAACTGCCCACCTGAGCTCAGTCAGCCCCAGAACTGTGAGAGATAATAATTTTTTTTTTTTTGAGATAGGGTCTCACTCTGTTGCCTGGGCTAGAGAGCAGTGGTGTGATCATAGCTCACTGCAGCCTCCAACTTCTGGGCTCAAGCGATCCTCCTGCCTCAGCCTCCCAAGTAGCTCGGACTATAGGCACACACTACCAAGTCCAGCTAATTTTTCTAATTTTTTGGTAGAGAGGGGATGTCACTAAGTTACCCAGGCTAATCTTAAACTCCTGGCCTCAAGCAATCCTCCCACTTTGGGCTCCCAAAGTGATAGGATTACAGGTGTGAGCCACCACACCCAGTTGAGATAATAAAATTTTGGTGTTGTTAAAACAAACAAAATTTCTTTTAATAACTAGTTTTTTTCATTATCAGTGGCAGCATTATCTTTCCAGTATTGCAAACTTAAGATATTTCCAATCCAGTTCTCTTTTCCTTGTTACTCATTTGCAGTTCATTTCTACATTCTGCCAGATTGTCAACCAGTGCTTTTTCCTGGACATGCATGCTCCTCCTGTTCTACAGTTATGACTCAGTCTAGGCCTAACCCATAAACTGATCTGACTACTACAGATTAGTCTTTTTTTTTTTTTTCCTAGCACTCTAGGAAGAATTTTCCTCTCAAACTTTTTTTCATGTGACCACCTCTCTTACAACTTCTAATAGCCGTTATTTCCCCCAGCCTGAACTATTCTTCCCATCTACTCCAGCCACATAGGCTATCTTTCAATCATATACTCAGCACAAGGGCTCTAATTGTTTTCAACAGCTCTAATTGTTCTCACCATTTTGGTTCCTTTTCTTCCACAAATGTCCCAGATTATAAGGCTCTTACTTGAAATCTAGTTGTAAGTGCTTATATTTAAGTATTGATTTTAACAAAGCTTGATTAACTTTATTGACCAGCCTATACAAACAGAGTCAGGCTTGTGAGGTTAAGTTCTTTGGTTTTCCAGCCACTTGGTTTCATGTTTGCAGACTACCATTTTCATAAAGGCTTACTCACAAATTGACACAGTTGATCGAAAGGGTACTTTCCTGGGTGTGCAGAGGAATTAGCATGAGTATTTAGAAAAACCTTGTGTTGTTGCAAACCAATGTGTTATTGTTAGTGAAGTTTGCATAATTAAAAAATAGGATGTTTTCAAGGATTTTGTCTTTTATTTTTATCAATATTTATAAGTTTTACTACATTGTTAAAGCATAACAATGCCTTTTAATACTGTTCTACATGATCATAGAAAGCAGATTTTATGTCTTAAAAGTTCACTTTAAAAAATAAAGCATTTAGGAAATGAAATGTATCTGAAAAATATTTTTAATGACTTGCATAAACTACTTACATTGAAATGACTAAAACATTATATGGGTATTTATTTGAATATTTCTGTTATAAATAACAGAAATTTACTATTTTCTAAATTTGTAATTTAAATATAGTACTAAAATACATATGTGATTTTACTGTTTTAATATTTCATATTCATAAAATCAAACAGCCATTTTTCTGAAACTGCAATTCATTAAGCTTATTTCTATAGATATCTACTTAGTTGCTATACATGTTGCATAGAACCTCAAAAGAGCATGCTTTAAAGTTGTGTAAATAAAATATAATTGGTGCCTTTATTATTCTCAAGTTCCACCACTTGCTGATTATAGAGTGATAAAATATAAAAAAACGGGCACACAAAAGGGCCACAGAGATGTTAGATTAGGTTTATATTTAAAATGAAATCTTTAAATGATTTCTTACAACACAATAAAGGGCATGAAAGAAATTAGAAAAGTCGTTGAAAACCACAAAACAGACAGTGACACGTACAGACGCCTGAACATAAATGATGCAACTTTCATAGCTGTCAGAGGCCAGAAGACAGTTTACAGAAGTACATAAATCAATAAAATAATTCTGATGAGACTCTTAGATGTACTCATTTTTATTCATTTTCCAGCCAGGTGACTAGAAAGGATATTGAGGAAATCCCAAGGACAGCCCCATTCTTTGGCATCAGTACTAGTCCTTTAAACTTGTATTTATAGGTAAAAAGAATGCCATCGTGAAAATATTCCCAAACAGATGTTTTGCTTGATGAATACAGTCAAAGCAGTAATTACTGATAAACAAAAACAACATAATGGCACAAAGAATATTTTAAAGAAATATTTTCTAGAGGGCTATGAAGGAAGTAAGACAGAATTGATTGATTTCTTAGGGGTAATCAAACTTTTTATAAGTGGACTGAAAACCAAAAATCTAAACAGCTAAAGATGTAGAAATGTTTCAGCACAAATTGTTACCCATCCTATCTGCACTGTCCATTTTCCTTGCAGTTTTTCTGTTAACAGAAGCCTATGAGAAACCACCCATACCCGACACCAATAATGGGGACGGGGGAAGGAAGGGTAAAGAAGTTGATTTTATAAATTTTAGCTAAAACTTAAATTTTTGGTCTCAAAAGATAATAGGGGCATAACTGAAAAACTAATTTCTGTAGTGGGTGACCTTTCATAATAAAATATTCAGAGGTCTGCAATCCCTTCTCTCCTACTTTTTCTAAAAACAGGTTTCTCCTATAATAGGAATGACAGTGCACGAAGGCAGCAGAAAATCCCTTTCATGAAAGAGCGGCAACAATGCTGTGTCTAGCTGAGTGCTCCTTGTCTTGGATGGTGTTGGCCAAGCTCGGAGACTGGGGCGCAGCAAGCAGCAGAGTGGTAAGTAACAATGTGTTAAGTGTATGTTCCCAAGGGAATATCTTAATATTGATTCTACCAGAGCCTGCCAAATCTCTGCCGCCCTCACCATCATGTGCTTCCATCAATTTATTTACCATATTCTCAAAATACCCTGGGAAAGATGTTATATGATAATGAAGACACGCAATACTATAATGACAATGGCACCACTCGATGTATGTATTTGATAAGAGAACTCCTCAATGTGTGGACATAGCGCCACTCGGTTGGGGATATGGATTTGTCCGTAAATAAACTGGCCCCACATGGCTCATGAAGTCCAGGCATATTATACTGGGTCAGAATTTACATTTGCATGGAAACCATATTTTTAGACATTTCACAAACTAACCTAAACCTGTTTTCAATCAGCATTTCAAGTGCTGCTTCAGATGTTTTCTAAGTTCCAATGCCGAAGATGATCCAAATTTTCACTCGGACAGAATGAGCTTAAAGCTGCAAAAACAGGCACATCCCTAAACTCTCTTCAGAGACCTACAAATCTGAACTACTCTTGGATGATTTTTTTGCCCTAAATATTAGGAAATAACTTAAACCAGTATTTTCTTTCCATAGTCCTCAAATATTTTCTGGGCTAGTCTAATCTGGCCCCAAAGCCAAACCTAACTATGACAGAGAGGTCTGCTACTGCAGAGTGGGTATGTCCAGGGCAGGAGTTCTGGTAGCAACTTCAATCCTCACTCGAAAAAAACCAGAAAATCATATGGGCCTAGACTAGAGCATTGCAACTTCTGCTATGAAAGTACTAAAATTAAGTGAAGAGAAAGTTGATGAATTTAGCGAAGATAAATACATATGGGTTAACACTGAAAAAGTACTTAAACAGGCTGACATGCATTTACATAACGTAAACATTTTTAAATGCCTCAACTCCCAGGTAATTTTAGCAATCTTGAAAGGAAAACGAAGGAACAGTGATGTGACTGACTAACCTCCGAAGAGATCCACGTCAGCAGTGACAGCAGTGACAGTTGTGGTAGTTGAGGCAGAAGCTGCAGCGGTTGCAATTTCAGCGGTTGTAGCAGGAGGGGTGGGCTCTGGTGCAAACGGGTCTGAAATCTGTGCTTCAGAGGGAACCGAGGAAAGCGCAGCCAAAGAATCTGTCCATTCCCAGAAACAGAGAGCAAATGGAAGAGAAGAGGAGGAGAGGACAAAAGATATACCAGACTCCAAATGATCAAATGAGGACAGTTATTAAGATACAGAAGTCTCTCAAAATGCAAGTTTAAAAACAAAGCTTTACTCACCCTCTCCCAAAAGGTCTGTCGTGGTCCATAACATGGCAGCATATGAATAAATAAGAGCTGAAGCTGAAACATTCAACCAGACCAATGTCCAAGCCAGATGAGGCACTAACTAAAGAAACTGTAGCTTTAGGTACCTTTCTGGACCACTTATAATTTAAAAGCACATACATTACCCACTATCATCATGGAACTTTCAGGCTAGAAGGGAACTTCAGCATTCTCTGGACCAAGTTTCCAATTTTATAGATGGGAAAACTGAGGGCAAGGGATGTCAAGAGACTTCCCTAAAGTCAGGCCTAAACAGTTTGACAGACTCCAATTATTTCCTACCAGATTTATCATTTCATCTGCTTTGACTTTGATTTCACTATACCATAAATGTCAATTCTGAAGAAACTGTAATTAACTGAAACTTTGTTCATCCTCTTTATTTGATGTGTCACTTAAGTCCAGAACACCATAGAATACATGGAGGCTTTATGGTAGCTATAGTCAAGATAATAGAAAATGCCAAAGATAGTCAAAGAATTGAATGCAAGTTTAAGTATTAGGAAAAAGAAAATCTAACCTAAATCATTTTCTTCTTCATAAGTTTTATATTATCAGATGTTTTTGAATATAATATATAATCCTGACATTTATAAACAGTATCTGACAATATATGAGAACTATTTTTAAGATGACTATGAGAGAAATTATGAGGCACAAAACTTTTCAGCCCTTCCGAGGTCAGCATGCCCTTGAGAGGCTGAACACTTTCCTAGTGTTCAACAGTGGAATTACAGTTGGCATCCTGAATAAAAAGTCAAAAGGGGATAGTCTTAACTGTTCAATGACTTTAGGTTAAGCATTCAGAGTGTCCAGTGGCATTCTTCTACTCTCAGTCATGTGATATACCTCAGGGCTCATATTTGAATTCATGAATGCCACTGGAAATTTATTTTAATCATGAAGAAATTTTATTGGAACTCATTAAGGAGCAATTTTTTTTTCAGGGCCTTGAAAACAATATGAGAACTCAGTAAACCTGAAGTTCTAGATGGAATTTTAAAAAACCGAGAAACATAAATCTGATGTTGAAAATAATCACATTCATTTAACCATACAATTTGCAAACCCAGTAAATATAATATCAAGTACTCTACAGATTCTCTAAGATTATTAAGACTCTTCTTAACTAAATCTTAACATATTTCACAACAATACTAGAAAATTAGAGCACACAGAGTACTGGACGTTAAAAATAGTTTTCAATCTGAGAATGTATGTCTAACAAATGCCGGGCAAAAGGTAAAAAATAACCAGGCAGGCCTGTGTTGACTTGGGGGTGGGGTGTTTTCTGCTGCTAGGTGGCCAGCTCCAAAGTCTTGAGAAATAGAAAGTCTTTCAAGAATTCTTCAAACCAACAGCACCTGGCCCAACACAACTGTTACCCTACAGCCACACATGTTAAAAATACCAATTAGAAACCAAGCGGGTCATCAGACAAACTTGATTTCTCTTCTCTCCTGGTGTCAGGGGGACTCTAACTAGCCCTGCTCTCATAGATGGCTACTTAGAGCCACAATGTGACTCAGCAGAGGAGATAAGAGCCATGTGATCTAACAGTTTGCAGATCCGCTATTGTCTATTACAGGAAATAAGCAATTTATTTAAAAAATTTGGTAAGTAATAAAGATGATTATTTATGTACACTAGCAGAGAGAAATAAGGAGATTTTAAAAAGAAGAATGAAAGATTAAATCAGTTCCTTGCATTTGATTAGTGTTTTGTTCAGATGGAGCGTGATGAGGCTGTCTGCAACAATACGACGGAAGATGAAAAGTACACTTCTTTTGGGATCTCCTAGAAAAATGCACGATGATTAAGCATACTGGTAGATAAGAGCTGCTGGAAATTTTTCCATTCCTCTCAACCATAGGTTTTAGTCTTGAAACTATTAATTTTCTAGATGAAACATAATTTATGTCACTTATTTCTTGTTTTAGACAAAATTTTCTCTACCATAAGAGGCCCTATTTTAGCATGATGGGATCAGTTACTAAATATTCACAAAACTGCCACTTTTTATAAAGGATTAAATTACACATACAAAAAATAAATTACCGCAGCAGAATTCAATTCATTTAGAAGTAGAACATAATCAGAGATTTTTTTGCATTATAGAAATTGCTAGAAAATATTCATTTTAACTGAGGAAACAGAATGACAACTAAATTAACAATGAGATTCTATATTCTGCAGTGAGATGTAGCTAGACTTTTTAGTTTATTATGAAGATTCAATATGTTAGTACATTTATTTTTTATTTTTTATTTTTTGAGACAGAGTCTTACTTTGTTGCCTGGGCTAGAGTAAGTGCCGTGGCGTCAGCCTAGCTCACAGCAACCTCACACTCCTGGGCTCAAGCAATCCTCCTGTCTCAGCCTCCCCAGTAGCTGGGACTACAGGCATGCGCCACCATGCCCGGCTAATTTTTTCTATATATATATATTTTTAGTTGTCCAGATCATTTCTTTCTATTTTTTAGTAGAGACGAGGTCTCGCTCTTGCTCAGGCTGGTCTCGAACTCCTGACCTTGAGCGATCCACCCGCCTCGGCCTCCCAGAGTGCTAGGATTACAGGCGTGAGCTACCGCGCCTGGCCTGTTAGTACGTTTAAAGTGCTCACCCATACCTGAAACATATCTGACGTTTGATAACGATAGCTAATTATATAGCAATAGCAAATATTTAAGTCAAGTTATAATTTTCATTATAGGACTGTAAATTTCAAAGTTTCTATAAATCTCCCAGAGTGTATGTGCATGTGTGCACATGCCTATGTATGAAAACAGCCTATAGACATGCATCCCAGATTTAATCAACAAGCAAATGGTAACATGAGTCACAAAAACTACTTGTACCGTAGCTAACATTGTACATGGTAAATATTACAGTCCTATGATCACATAATAGTGATTAGCTTTCAAATGCATGTTGATAATTATTTCAATTCTAATTAAACCCTAGCAGTAATCTTGTATTTCTCAAAAAGTAGAAATTTCAATTCAAGCATTTATAAAAAGAAGTTATTTGTTTTTCCACATCTAAGATATACAGGCACGCAACACACATACTCAATTATTTGTGCTTCTGAGACATGAGTTTATTATGAAGAAAATAAAACACTCTCCCTATTACAGAGCCAAAGGTAGGGATTTAATAAAAATTTTCTGCAATCTTTCTGTCAAATGAGTTTACCACCAGCTTGCAGAAATGCCAAATCTTACATGTATAATTTAAATTAAAATCACTAAACTATGATTTTGCTAAAATTTGGTTGCTTTACATTGTAGGAAAAAAATAGTAACATTACAATATATCCCTTGAAATGGAAATATTTATCAGTACCTATAACCCCCAAGAAAAATTCACTAACATCTGAAGTGGCCATGGTCCTTGGAAACTGAAATCCTTTCACTGTCACTATGATCAGATAAGTACCTTCAAACAAACTTATAAAATTTTAGAGTTTGTATTTTATTGTCTAGTTAAACAAAATTCAAATATGCTTCAATAATAGAAGTGGCTTGATCTTATCAGGCAAGATTGAGAGAGTGATTTTATTTTTTTCCCTAGTCAAATGAACCAACACATATCTGTTATTATGTAATTTAGCATCACCTTCAACCACCACTGGGTTATCTACAAGATAAACGCAAACAGAAGGTATCTATTATTGCTCAGTTTCATATTATAGAAGTTTATTTCAATTTTCTTAAGGCTATAATTTTTACTATTTTGCTTGGAATCTGGAGAATTTATTTTTTAGCATTTTCTTGAAAAGTTGACTTTTCTATTGCTATGAAATGTTGCAGTTGTAGATATTTTGTTGAGATAAAAATGCTGTCTAATCATCAAAAGGTAACCATCAGGCCCTAAGCCGAGGCTTCTACTAGCCTTTGTACCAAGCATAAAAAAGTGCTCCCTGTAGAGGGGCAGATCAGAAAAAGAAAAGCATCTCCTCCTCAAGGATAATGAGAAAGGCTCACAGCTTGACTAGAAGAGTTTGGCTGGATTTCAGCCCCTCTTGCCCTGCCTTTGAGCAATGCACAAACTGCCTGACCATATTGCACAGCCCTGGCTAAAACCACACTGTTCTGCTTTCTTTTATATGCAATGATATTTTCATGTTTCAATCATCAATAGTTAATTATTTCTAACCAGTAGAGACTAAAATGTAGTCTAATAAAATTGGTTATTACAATATTACATATCTTAGCAAAAAGCACTTAAAGATGAATATGAATAAAAATGTTACATTACAATTAAAAAGATTTCATTTAGTTTTTTCCTTTTATTTATTTGGCATTCTTCTTTTGTTGCCAAAAGTTAAAAAAGAAAAAGACAAAATTTCTCTTTAATTTCATGCCAGGGAATACGGTGTAAGGGGATTGTTTATAGTCTTACTGTTTATTCATTAAAAGTCTAACTAACTCACTAAATGATTGAAAAATTCTAAAAATTGGAAAGTATGAAACACATACTGATTTAAATAGTTGAGATAATTAAAAAGACATGCATATAAAACCAAAAAAACTTTTGTGTTACCCAATAAATTTACAATTAAAACTAAATTTTAAATTATAGAAGTTCTGTAAGAGTCATCTGCATCTTTATGAATGAGGGAGTTTGAGTTAAGGATATGAATTTGAAACATTTTTAGATAAATAGGAAAATAATACATGGTATAAGACACTGTGGTAATGAAAAGAAATTATAAGCAAATTAAAATAAGATGAAGTTTAGAATAAAAACGTGTACAAGAAGAATGTCATTATAAAATCTCTTCGGCAATATTTTCCTTAACTAATTAGAATTTAATAATGTTAAATGAAGTTGAAAGAACAATTTTATTTTAAAAATTGATAGCTGTAGCCTTAGGAGTTGAACATTTCAATATAGGAGATGATTTAAATATTTAAAATGGAAACATGCCAACATTTAAAATGCTCATATTTGTAGTTAACAATTTTATTTCAGAAGTAGTTATCTTTCTGTTATTTTTGTTACCAAAAAGCTTGGAAATAAGATCAAGAGATTACAGAATGTACTTTTGATGTTATACTGACACACTGTTTAACAAGACCACCCAAGGAATATTTAATTATCTAGAGGAATGTAACTTTGTTTGACTTTGTTATTACTGTAATTAAGGACTCTGATTCTAAAATGATAAGTTACAAATCTTGTCTGCTAGTGATGCAAATAATTTGGGAAAAAAGATAACCTCAAAGTTATGATTTTTATTACTCTATAGGATATTAATAGTTTTGTATCTAAACTAGCCATCTTATTCTATTAATAGCATTCCTTTTCAAATGCCTATAAATACCCAATTCCTCAAAATGCTCTTTGCATCAATTTTATCATCTTGCTGGTTTCCTCATTAGTCAGTTACTAAGTCTTTCACTTCTGTTGCTTCTATAGTTGTATAAGCCATGTCGTAAACATTTTGAAAATGTTATTCTGATCGTTTGATGCAGTAGGGCATGGTATTTAAAACCAACTCTGTGCAGCTTTGAGTCTTATGCAGCAATTATCTTAATTTTTATATTAGTATTAAATATGTTTTTAAATCCAATATTTATAAAAGGTTGATTTTTCTGAGCTCAATGGGAATCAAGTGCCTAGGTGTGGTTTCTCTCAGTCAATCAGGTTAGTATGATTTTTTTCTGACACAAACAACAATCTGTAACAGATTTCACTTGCCTGAAGTCAAATACACTGTGTATCAAACCAATTCAGGCCTAAAGGAATCCGGGAAGGAGGCTACACTTTACCAAACCAAATTAGAAATGCTGCCTTTGAGTAACCTCATAAATTGATGGGAATACTCAGTCCTCTAAGGCCTAAATCTCTGGAGAACAATTACTAAAAATAATCAGAATTTTAGAATAGCAAAGAAAAATACTTCCTTTGTGCCAACTTTTAAAATAAAAACGATATTACTTGAACATTTTAACTGTAGTATAGGCACTTTCTGTCTCTCTCTCTCTCAACATATATTACAGTCAATAGATGCCATTCTTAGCATTTTCCCTCCAAGTTTCTAACACCATTTTGGATAATCAGAAGGTAAATATAACCATTGTAGCCCATACAAAAGCGACTCAATAAATGACTAGGGAAATGGCACGGTTGTGTGACTTCGCTCACCTCCCCATGCAGTGGCGCCTCCAGCGGGTGCTGGTGGTGCTGGTGCCGCGGCTGCTGCCGCCCCGGCAGAGGAAAAGTCTGGCTGCAGGTCCAGGAGATCGCTAGATGGTTTGGAAGTGCTGAAAGGAAAACAGAACTTTAAAATTAGATTTTGAAATTTTATAATGTAAAGGTGTTTTTAAATAAACGCTTATGCAGAAAACAAAGATTTTGGATATTTTAAATCCAATAAAAGAATAGAAAGTGTAGCAGTATAGCATATACCAAAGGTTGGCAAACTACTTTTGTAAAGAGCCAGATGGTCTTCATCGCTATTCAATTCTGCCACTGTAGCACGAAATAAGACATAGACAAGACATAAACAAATCAACATGTCTTTGTTCCAATAAAACTTTCTTTATAGGGGGCTGGATATGATCCCTGGGAAGTGTCCTACAGGGCAATAAAAATCATAACCTTAAGGTTATCTTTTCTCTATTTCCTAAAATCTTTTGTATAGAAAAGAATACTAAATAGTCAGTAATTTACCTTTTTCCTAAATTAGACTATAATATATTAAGTTTGGCTGTAAGAGGATTCGCCTAAAACTACTTCATTTTTTATTCTTACTCAGTTGGGTCTGTGCTTCTCTATCTGCAGAAGTTCCAAGGAGGAGCCTAGAGCCTTGTTATCCAAAGTGTGGGCCCCAAACTAGCAGCATCCATGGATGTTTATAACTGCAAAATCTCAGGCTTACCCTATATTTACTACCTCAGAATCTTCATTTTTAACGAGATCCCCAGGTGATTCACATGTACATTCAGATTTGACGAGCACTGGCTTAAAGGTTACCAGGCCAGGTGCCAAGCCAACAGGGTCCCAGGTTCCTGCTCTGTTTTCTTTTTTTTATTCAGCCTCCTGTATAGCTGGGATTACAGGCTCGAGCTACTGCACCTGACTAATTTTTTCTTATTTTTGTAAAAATGGGATCTTGCTATGTTGCCCAGGCAGGTCATGAACTCCTGGCTTTAAGAGATCCTCCTGCCTCGGCCTCCCAAAGTGCTAGGATTACAGGAGTGAGCCACCATGCCTTGCCTCATCTGCTTTCTTAAACATCAGTTCCATCTTTATCTCTTTTACATATTCAGTTTCTAAGTAATATTATTTTGAGAAAAGGATTCTGCTGATTTTTTAAAAAGTTCCAAACTGCCTGAAAGCATTGACTAGTTTTGATGTCCATTTCATAAACACAACTGTACTAAGTAACAGAAAAAGAAAACATTTATTATTAAGATCTTAAAGCTTTTATAAGAAGCAATTTATCTTAGTGCCGTAGCAGAAAGGACTTGGTTTTACTGAGGTTGCTGGAATAACAAGCAGACTAAGCAAGCAGAGAGTAAAGCACATAGTTAACTTAGGTAAAGTATTTGGAGCTATTGCTCAGGTCAAAATCCAAGATTCCAAATATAGGACATTCATAATCAGAGGCACAGATACTACAAAATGAGACTAGAATCCTTTTAAAGCAAAAGAACCAAAGAATTGACCTAAAATTATTATTTGAGAAAGCCCCTATGATGGGTAGCTCTAAGATTTCCCAGGATGCAAAGTCATCCTCACCTTTCTCACTAATGTCCTGACCTGGAGGTGCTAGAAAAGCTAATTAGGAACACCCTGACGGCCTCTTCCTACCACCAGAGTTTGAGTTCCTTATATGCACCAGCTAACTGGACTACAACTTCAAGTGTGTGTGTGTGTGTGTGTGTGTGTGTGTGTGTGTGTGTTTAAAGCACTTGAAGACACCGTTTAAATTTCCCACAAGAAGAAACTAATTTTAGAAAACATTTTCCATATCAGCCAATTTCAGAAGAACCTCAAGTGTGTGCATCTTTCTTCTACTTCATTTCCCAAATGTGTGAGCAACAAGGTGATTTCCATAGCTTAGGTCTTTCTAAGAGGTACAGCCCTACGTAACTGCATAAGTGTAAAAGAATTTACTTTGTGTAGCAAAAATAACCCAAAATATCACACATTACTAGGATTAGATTCCATTTGGTGAAGTCATTTGGGTACAGTACATAAAAAGAAAACAAAAACCTAGTCAAAATATTAATAAACAGTTCACTGCATACTTGTTAACTAACCTGACTGGGACAGCCGCAGATGCAGTTGCAAATAAATCAACCGGTGGGGATGTGTCAATAGTTTTAGCTGGTGTAGAATTGGGAGACGTAACAGTTGTTGCTGGAGAAGACTGAAAGTGAAGATGCACAACACACTCTAGTCAAATATGAATCTACAGGACACAGAGCTACAGGACTTCCGTTTTGCAGACCCATGACATTCCCAGCGATATTTTTTTTTTGTAATTCCTCATGGGAGAAAAAAACTCAAGAAAATTTGAAATTAAGAATTGTAATAAATAATATCGGACAAAACATGACTCAAATTTTACAATTTAAATGTAATTTATATAAAATTATGATAAAATGTTTGGTCTAACATTGCAATGACTTGCATTTGTTAATTAAAATCAAAGCTAAATATATTTATTGAATATAAAGTTATTAGGAAAGATCTTACTAGCTGCCAAGAATTTTAAAAATTATCGATTATAATAAATACTATAAAACCAAGATCATTCTTCCTCCTTCTCATCCTAAACAGACTTCATGTGAAGTCTTCTCAAGATGTTCTTAAAATCCAGAAGGAAATTTGACTTACAAAATAGTTCATAGTTGGCAGAGAATGACTCACAAGTAAGATTCAAGTCACTGACAGCTTAAGGATAGCGTGACTATAATTCATCACTAATATGACATAGATAAAACTAAAAAAGTGAAATAAAATCTAACATTTATTTTCCTGGACTGGTTTTTTAAAAAGAGGAATTAGTAGTCAACTACTATTATATAGAAAAATTGAAATTTTTGTTTAAAATTATCCTCATTCTATTTTATGTGGTCTATTAACTCTCCATGTATTCACAAGATTAACAGAACATCTCAAAACAGTCTAGTGATACTCAGTTCTGTAAGTGGAAATGAGATATAACAGCAAGAAAAATATATGAAGACCAAGACCAAGGAAGGGCTATCAGATACTGCCCTCGTGGCATATCTGATTTCAAATAAACCTAACTTAAAGGAAGTTTTAAAAGAATAAGAAAAAGGACTGAGGAGATTAAGAAATTTATAGGTATTTCCAGACTTAAATAATACATATTTGTCCAAAAATACAACTAATCAAGAAGTCAGAATTCAATAGATATACAAATGCCAGGCATTCAGCACTTCAAGAAAGACAAACACAGGAGAGGTATGGATATTGTTGCTCAGAAAATATCAACTCAAACCTCTCTCTTTGACAAAAATTTAAATCTTTCAAATGGAATACAAAGATCATCAATGAAAAAGAAAGCACTAACTAAAGTTAACTGTATGTCATTCATTGTGAACACTGACAACTCCTCTAAAAAAGGAGAGGCTTTTTTTAAAGCCTATACATATAAATAAGCTTAGAAAAAGTGATATTTATGAAACACAGAGAACTTAATGACAGCAATAAATACTACCAACATAAACACAAAAACGAAGGTGTGCAAAAGCCCATTAAAAATGCCTAGTAACAACAAGCTTTTAGGCGATGTGAGAACTAGGAAAACAGAACCCAAATAATCCTGTTATTACTAAAAGAAAAAGTCAGTAAAATTCAATTTAGCCAAAATGTAGAAACAGACTAACCCAAAGGATGCCACAATTTTACCACACTACTCCGAAGTCATATACTGGGATTTTTCACATAGATATAATGGTTTTAAACCTAGCTTTGTGTCAGAATAACCAGAGAGCTTTTTGCTTATTTGTTTTATTTGGCTGATTGAGGTCCCTGAGGGAATCTTAGGCTGCCAGCCAGCCAGGCCCTGGTACGCTCCATGGTGTCTGGGAATCGCTAGCGCAGCCGTAATGATATCCCTGAATGTCTGTAATGACAGCAATTACATAATGGAAATTTGTCAAAGAGGAAAGAGCACATTTATAACATTTTTGCCTGAAAAATACAATGGCAAATGTGAACTACAGACTTATTGAAGTGAATACTCTTGTCATTAATAACCCTAATCCTGTCACTCAACATGTTAAAAAGGAGATGCAGAGCTGAAGGAGTTATTAAAATTATTAGAGTAGACTGTCTAAAAGGCATACTTGTGCACCTAATTACAACTGACTTCACTACCATTAAAACACACACAATATCATGTCTTACCTGTCTCACAGAGCTGTGATTCAGAATTATGTAAAAATGCTTTGTAACTAGTATATATTTGTCTTTAGGTATAATATAAATACATGAGAAATCTCTCCTACTTTAAAAATACGTAGTCCAAACTGAAGACTAAATCACATACACTGTACCACGCTGGACTGAGAAACTGATATAAAGGAACATACATACAACTGTTAACTGATCTTTCCTCAAAAAATTTAAATTAGAATTACCATATGACCCACCTATTCTACTTCTGGGTATATACCCAAAAGAATTGAAATCAGGCACTCAAACAGATATTTGTATACCTATATTCACAACAGCATTATTCATAATACTCCAAAGGTAGAAGCAACTGAAGTATGCATTAACAGATGAATGGATGAACAAAGCATGGTTCATACATACAATGGAATATTATTCAACTTTAAAAAGGAAGGAAATTCTGGCACATGCTACAACATGGCTGAACCTTGAAGACATGCTAAGTGAAAAAAACCAGTCAAAAAGGGACAGATTCTGTATGAGTCCACTGATACGAGGTACCTAGAATATTCAAATTCACAGAGACGGAAAGTAGAATGGTGGTTGCCAGAGACTGGGGGGAGAAGAAATGGGGACTTACTGTTTAGTGGGTATGGTTTTTCTGTTTTGGAAGATAAAAAACATCTGGAAATGAATAGTGGTGATGGTTGTACAACAATGTGAATATACTTAATGCCACTAAACTGTACACTCCAAGATGGTAAAATGGTAAAAAACCAAAAAGCAAACTTACCTTACTTAATGGAGAGGGAGCACCAGATCTAAAAGACAACATAAAAAAATTAAAACTGAATATAGGTGAATACATTTGTAGAAACATTTAAGTTTGGTATCACTTGATCAAGCACTGACTTGTTTGTAAGTAACAGACTTTTAAAGTAATGGACAACCTATTTTTTAAAAAAATCTTTTTATCTTTTACTCAATTATGATAACCCCTTCCAATGTTTTTCATGAACTTATTTTCTAGTACCAGAAAGTCTTAAATTCAAAATTATTTTCTGTATCTCTAGCAACACAAATTTTTTGAATCCATCCTTATTGCCTACATCCACATAAAATGAACTGTCCAGATTGGAATTTTAAAAATTTTGCCGAGACTTGAGAAAAACCACGCTTTATAGAATTAAAAAAGAATAAAACAAAACCAAAACCAAAACCAAAAAGACCTCTGGCCTTATTCACTGAGGTTAAAGTACATTGTTACTCAGTTAATCACAGTTGTGATGCATAGAAATAGGAACCCTAGGGAAAAATAGAGCTCTATAAGCCCTGTGCCTGAAATGTTTCAACTTCCATATTCATACTCCTGAATTTTGTCTGTTTTTTTTGGTGGTTGTTGTTTGTTTGTTTTCATGGCTGTAATGAAAACTCTTTAGGAAAAATATTCCCATCATCTCATTATAACCAGTGGGTGCTTGATAAAGAAGAGCAACTTTGATGCTTGTTTCTAAGGGAGTGAGAAAAAATTAGGAAGGCGTAAATTTTTTTTTTAGTTAGATTACTGTCAGCATTGTTTGTTGCACATCATTACTAGCAAAGTGCTTCCGAAACAACTGGCTGAATAGCTCACATTTTATTAACCTGAGTTGGTAGAAAAATGAATAACAAAACAAAAAGAAGACAAAAACAAATTTCAATAAGCAGCCTATATTCAGGGTTTTATTGAATGGCAAAGATGGCTTTCTACTCATCTACAGAGAAAATATCACACATAGCAGTAGCAAAACAAAATTAGTAGAAATTTAGTAAACAGAATTTTATACCATATTATGAATTTTTGTCTTATTAGACATAGAAAGTTTAGCACTATTACAGGCCAGATTAACATCTTTTAAATTCAATTTCATTTGCAGATACATGCCTGCCACTTCCTGTTTAAAAATTCAGTTTTTACTTAAGAAGCATATAAATAACATAAAGCAAGGGCATACAGAGATTTCTGCTATGTAACAAAGACAGAAGCATAAGGGTAACAATTTGGTGATATATAGTTTGGCTAAACGTTATCTTAAGAGTAACATATTCTGTGAGGATATACACTTATCTATATTGTTCATGTCAAAGGTTTACTAAAATAACGGATTCTTAGTGTTCTCTATATCTGTGTTAAGTTACTCAAGACCTCAAAAATCTAGTACAGCATAAGGCTGAAAAGTCTTTAGTGAGTCCTTAGCTAATTCTCTATTCCCACCATTTTTCCCTTTATATCTATCTATCTATCTATCTATCTATCTATCTATCTATCTATCTATCTATACTATCTATCTATCTATCTATCTATCTATCTATCTATCTATCTATCTAAAAGGAAGGGAGTCAAATTTAAATAAAAATCCAATAGAACATTCAGAGCCTGAACTCTGCAAAGAAAACACAGAAGCCATTTGACATGGTTACTTTCTAAGAATGAATTAATTTAAATTAATTTGTTTCTCCTTCATGAACCAATTCTGAGCAGTACTGACACAATGAAAAACACCAACACAGAAAAAAGAATTGAGAATGAGGAAGAACTTTTGAAATATATTTCCAAATTAATACATAAAAATTTAAAACATATCTTCTACCAAAGAGCAAGAATAAAGATACAGTAAAAATGACAGAATTGTTCTACCTGGTATTAAAGAATATCATACACAAAGCTAAGTATGAAAAGTCGTAATTGGCAAAAGAATCAGTTTGCCAAGCTCCCACATGAACCCACTATTACTAAGTGATACTATTACCCCATGAATTAAGTAAACAAATGAAAATCCCCTACTGTCTTTCTTGAGATATCATCCCATTTACTATTAAATGCATTATATCTTAATTATTTGTTGTCTTCACTAGATGTTAAGTTCTTTGATGGGAAGGAACTCATCTCATTGTTCTATATCCCTAGCACTTTACACAGCATCTGACATTTTCTGTATTATTTTAATTTTTAAATCAGAATATGTTCATGTATACATTCTATAATCGATAAATTAACCAGAAATATTTAAAAAACTATTTTATGGGAAGCTAAACTGTCAGGATGTTATGACCTCTGTTCCCATGAACCAGATCTGGCTTTTGTCATGATATAATAAAAAAGGTGAGAACAGGAGGTACTCCGATGGGGCTGTAACTTTAAAAAGCATCATTAATCACTGATTAAAATCTGAAGGCTCCCAGGCTCAGAGAGGTTAATAACTTGCCCAAGTATCATACATTAACAGTGGATTTAAGACTGATCCAGGTCTACCTGCTGCCCAGAGCCTGTGCTCATTCCACATTCCAACCTGCCCCACCAAAAGCACAGATGAGACTGGCACATTTGTTCCTCTCTTACACAACATGGACATTGCATCTTCTTACATGTTCCTTGCTTGGTTTTTGCCCTACTGTTAGTCATTGCCCTTTATGAAGGAAAATGCTACAATCTTTTATACATAGACAATGATGCTTATAAAAGACCAATACTTACATTAATAATTTCATCTAGAGAACTTTAGTTCATAGTGAACCACGTTGGCAAAAACAAGGCACCAAGATAATTTTAGAAGAAAATGAATGACCTATATAATAATGTATTCTAGATTCTGTAAAATACTACAAACAAATTCATGGGTTTTTACTATGAACATAGCAAATGCCAAGGAAGCTGTTAAAAGAGGAAATTTATTACTTCTTATTTGATTTGCAATAATAATCTCTACATTGTTTTGAGTTTAAATTCTAGCCCCCCCATAAAAAACCAAAAAACCCCCAACCTCCCCAAAAAAAACCCACCAAAAAACCCCCAAAAAACAGATTGTGAAAAACCTATCTACATCTTCCAAAATTTTTAATTACAAAAGACTTATCTTGGGTTTCCCGGACCCTTAACACTTAGTCAACAACCCACAAGTAGAATGAAATAAATTTCTCTCTTTTTCCTGTGGAATCATAGAAACAAACAATATACAAAGTTATATCACACAGTATTGCATACAATTGCAAAAGTCATTATCAGTGGACACAAGGTGATAAATATAAAGGGTGTACATATTTTTTGTAGCAGACATTTGCAAATGCTTCATTTTAGGAATATACTTGACTTAGAGGTTAGAATAGTTTTACACTGCTACTAGAAGACAAAGAAAACAATTTTAAATCATCAAATTTCTTTATAAAACTGTCTTTTGGCACTTCTGCCATATGTCATGGGGAAATCTTTTGTTTGTTTACTAAGCCAGTGAAAAATCTTTGATTTCTAAAATCTGAGAGGAATATATATACACCTAAGAGAGATTGTTAGTCTTGATCCAAGAAGACCAAAAGAAAGTAAAACTATTTATGCCAGTCACCTTGGGAAACAAAAATAAAGCATAATGAAAAAACACAGCTGTGTAGAAGGGGCAGAAATCAGTTTTAACTGTTCTAAATACCAGATGTGGAATCTTAAGAGTGTTTTTTGCATTTTTAGTAATTACCAAATGCAAAAAAGTCACTCCATACAGTACTCACCCTTCACTTAAGTTCCCAGGTAAGCACAAACATACAAAGAAGAAAATAGTTAACTATTGTCGTTCATTTATTTTAAAAATAGGGAATAAGCAAAAGACAAGTTCAAATGTGGTCTTGGCCAATTCAGACAAGAAATTTGACAAGCATAAAATGATTTTAAAGGAGAAAGAAAAATCAGTCTAAGCAATAGGTAATTCAAAATGGAAGATTATTGAGTTTTTTAAATTTTACTTCTCTAGAAATGTAATTAAATGTCCATAGCTAATTTTTTGAAAAATAGCTTGTAGTGGCCAAAAGGGGGTGAATTTAGATTTGAAGTTAGGGCTAATGAGACCCACTCTAGCTAGAGAAGGAGGCTTCTCAGGTAACTGCAGCACTGGCAGATTCAAGAAAAAAACAAGGGAAGAGCGTGGCCCTGTGCAGGGTGTGAGGGGCCTTGAAGGGCAAAGAGTGCAGAGAAGTCGACTTGCACTGCGCATCCAGGACTGCACGGGGGAGAGACTCTAACTCCAGGGGATGTGCACACTGCCTTCGCTAAAGAAGTCTGTCTGCCACAGGAGCAGGGACATTTCTCAGCTTCTCGCTTTCATTTACTTAAATCCTAGCCAACTCATCTGGCTTCCCAGATACCCTGATAGAGGGTGGTTCCAGCAATAACTGGAAGTGGGCATCTTTTATTGGAATGTAATGTACTCTCATGTCAAGTCTGATTATCCTCCGCCACACTGAAACTGGGGCTGACCCTGGACTGTGGAAACAAATGTGACAGAGTCCTGCGAGGACCTGCCGTCCATCGTTCCAAACAGCTCTGCCGTCATTGCCTGGAAAGCTCATACTGCTGTTTGTCAGTGAAAATTTAAGACATGCAATAATTTCTATACTAACTTGGAAAAGACAACAGAAAAAACATTTAGCTAGCAAAATAACCAGCAAAAAAGTAACATCGAGTTATAAGCCTACATTTTGAAAACGCACAGAGGGAAGAGAGTCAGAAAGAAATTGCATTGTAGTAGCTCTATCATAGGTAAAAATCTATGACCAGCCTACAGCCCTGCAATGATCAGTTCACTGTCTGTCTCTGCTAACTCCTGCTGTCAGCTTAAATGGAATAAACATAAAGCTGGTGTCACCAGGAAATATTTCAAGCTGTCTCTGTAGAAAGACCTACATTAAGTGTTTAGGTAGAGATAATGAAGTATAAACTAGTCCCTAAACTTTAAATCCAGAAAATCTATTTAAAGCACATATGGGAAAAAAATGGCCTCAATACAGGGCAAGGGCAGTTCATGATTACGGAAGGCTTCGTGAGAAGGGAGGACTGGAGATGGACCTCCCAGGATACATAGATTCACACAGGCAGGACAAGAGGGGTAGGCATTCGAGGTCAGCAGAATTATAGACTAAATAAGACATAAAGACGGGACAGCACCAGGTCTTGTGAATAAACAAGTTTTACACCTGCTGGAAAAAAATGAAACCTGGCCTTTTTTTTTTTTTTTTTGTAGACAGTGAGGAAAAATAGTCAAAAATATAAGAACCCAAACACAAAGGTATGAAAATCTAGTAAAATTGCTCTTATCACTACTTGATTGCTACTCTCTAGGATCTCTGAGTTAACTGACAGTAGCATACCATGCCTGGTTCAAGTGGGGAGAGACTGGAGTCCAGAAAATTATACTCGAGAGCTTCGCTTTTTTCACATGGGGTTGGGAACAGAGTATTTCAGGCTGCCTGTGAAATTGTGCTTGTTTTCACTCATGTCCAATGGTAACAGCTTCAATTTTTAGTCATGAGCAACTGTTTATTTTTATTATTATTTCATTTTATTTTGTTTTATTTTAGAGACAGTGTCTTGCTCTCTTGCCCAGGCTGCAGTGTAGTGGTGTGATCATAGCTAACTGCAGCCTCGAACTCCTGGGCTCAAGTGATCTTTCTGCCTTAGCCTCCCAAGTAGCTGGGACTGCAGGCGTGTGCCACTAAGCCTGGCTGACTTCTATGTTGCCCAGGCTGGTCTCAAACTCTTGGCCTCAAGTGATCCTCCCACCTAGGCCAAAGTGTTGGGATTATAGGCCTAAGCCACTGTGCCTGGCCTCTTTTTCTATATATTATGAATTCCTTCTAAGTAAGGGCTAATATATAAAGCTGTAGGTTCAGTCAATACAGGTACAATCTATTAATTTGCTGCATTAGCCTGCAGATAGATTACCTATACATGAGGTTACATTATCATAATAGAAAGGGCAGGGGTTCTGAGGGAACCCAGAAAAATTACAATAAAGCATACCCTAAAACTGTAGTGGTATCTGCTGTACCACAATAAATTTCATTCTTATAAAGAACCACTCTAGTATTTTTCATCTTATTTAGAATATACAACTAATGCATACTTGTTTCCAGGTTTCTTTCCTTCTAATGTATTTAGATGCTGTTCAAGGGTCTCCATAAGACTGCTGGGAGCCTACAATAAAAAAGTAAAAATAAATGTCTGCATTTTTTTTTTTTTTTTCCGAAGTAAACACACTGTAACATCACTGTAACTTTGTACAGTGGAAGTCTGCGGATGGATCCCAATATACAATATATATGTGATATAATTTAATTCTAGTTTTTTTTTGTATTTACGTATTTAAATTCCATGGATTCTTAGGCCCATCTTAAATACACTAAACTCCACTGCATAACAAACAGCATTACAGCATGGTTTCAGTGTAGAGATTACATTGCACAGACTTTTACTAAGATGTTAGTTATACGCAATAAACTCAAATCAAGTTCACTACCACCTTCCCACACACAGTGAAAAAGGAATAGGTATTTGTATCCAAGTCAAAAATATAAGTGCCCAAATACAAATTTACATAAATTTGAAAATACAGTAAAATCTCACTTATCCACATTTGACTGAAATATTAGGAAAAATTGTTACTATTAATATATTTTAAAAGGGGGGGCAAGTGAGAGTTGTGGGGAAAAGAATACAATTCTAACATTCAATAATAATTAAGATTTTTTATCATTGAGCTATTTAATTTATATATATAATAAAGTAACTATAACAAATATAATGTAATAATATAATAGAGTACTGTGTATTGGCAGATTTAATATATTTTAACTCTTTTACTAAAAAAGTATGTTCATGTTTCTTTTTATAAATAAAATTTTAGGCAATATAAAGTGATGGTATTTTACTGTATATTAGAAGGAGAAATAATAGGTTCATACAAATATTCCATCCAATCTATTCCTCAAGCATTAGAGATTTAATTTCATCTTTGTAAAATAATTTTAATTTCATGTTTGTAAAACAGACCTTAACAGAAGCATAGGCATTCAAACAATAGCATTTGACAAATGAAATATATACCTATACTTACAGATCAACAATTGTTCTTAATGTGAAATTAATTTTGAAGGACTTCAAAGTAACTATGCTAAGTGCTTAATAGCTCACAGAATTCAAAGAAGTTCATATAACTATACCTTTTACATTGTAACTTTAATGACAAATTAAAATAAAATTCTTATTAAAAATTTTTAATTTTGAAAATTTAGGACATGTATTTACTATTCATTTTCATTTCACTAATAGACAAACTGTCTTAACATTTATATGATTATTATATATGTAATCATGTGATCGTTATAAATGTAAATTACTAAGTGAACAAAAATATTAACCTGATCAAAGTCAAAGAGTTTTAGACTATATAGTGAAAAAACAAATTATCAGAGGATTAATAAATTTAAAAAATTATAAAAATTAGGATTTTAAAATATACTTCAGATTAAAATGAACTTATTCAACAAATTTCAGTAAACTACACCTAGGAATATACTTCTAAGCTTTAAAAATATATTTTTAAAAGAGATAAAGGAAATTTTGTTCTATATACCAGATTATAAACTATAGAGAAATGCTCATTGAATAAAGAATGTAACTTTAAAAGGAAGAAAACATAAATGGCTTCAGAATTTTTAGATGAATTTACATCTGATAATTTAAAAATTGTCATATTAATTGTCACTAATGATAATGATGGAAACTAGGAGGCCTGGGCATTTAAGTTTAAACTTTTTGTATTTCCATTTTTTTCGTTGAGATCACAATAAGGAAAAAAATATATATATCGAGCCATAGAACTTCTTTCCAGTTAACAGACTTAGATCCTCGGAATGTTTAATGAAATGTAAAAGAAGGGTGATGTTTTGCTAAACCTAAATTTAAAACACTGTTTAAAAAAAATAAATGCCATTTATAGTCACAAAAGAGAGCGTAACAAATATGGGATAACAAAAAAGAGGTAATATTCTCTCTTATAAAGTTTCTTAGTTATTGAAAACAAAACAAGACAAAACAAAACAAGACAAAACAAAAACCCAGGAAGATAGTTTGCAGTTTTTCTTTTTGTAAAGTTTCTTAATAATTTAGGTAAGAAAATTAAAAAAAGTAAGGCAGCACACAAATCACAATAGCTGAAAGAGAAATCTGACCAAGCAATACAAGACTATAAAACTGACTTTTATCTCAAGGGGAGTTATTTAGCAATACACTGCACATAAAATTAAGTTTGGAGCACTTTTTCCTAGAGATTTAAAAGGGCTTCATAATTTATATCTCTTATAAGGACATGTGAAATCTAAGAGAAATAAATTCCTCAACTGTCTTTGGAGGGAAAAAAAAGTACTTTGATAGTAATATCTAGGAGGGCAGGAATGTCTGCCTTCTTAACTGTATCTATGGCACTAAGGACACCCTGGCACGCAGACAATAAGTGAAAACTGTCTTAAGTTTCCAAGGAGCAAAACTTTGAGAATGCCTCTGCTGCTGTAGAAGGGACTTAAGACAACAAAGTATAATTCGTAATATCTTTAGTTGCTCATTTAAAAAAATGCCAAAGTCAATAGACCAATCAAATGGGAACACCAATCCAAAGAACAAGAGTTAGCCTGTGAAAGCTAATAGATAGCAACATGTCAGTTACCGATTCATCAGTGGTATAATCTTTAAAAGGAGACTTTTCTTTACCAGTAGTTTTCAGATCAACCATAACTCCTGACAACAAAACCTAAGATATTTTTCATAAATGGAGATATTTTACATTTGGAATGCACACATTCCTCAAACAGGAAACAATATTTTAAAAAATTCTTTTCTTGGAACAAATTCATAGCTGATTGTGAGCCCAGGATCCAAAGGAAAGCATCTATCTACAATTTAGATGCTTTGGATTATAAAGCATCATCAAAACCAAACAAAAAATAAATCAAAAGAGCATTAAAATTTTTAATCATCAGCTCTAAGAAACCACTTGAAAGTGCTGAGGAGAAATATTTCAGCTCTAGTATCATATTTATTTCTTATTCAAAACAGTACTTTTGAATGTCTTTTAAAAATTTCATTGATATCCATGAATAATTTAAATGCAATAATGATGATACTATATGCACAATTTAAAAATGGCTACAGATGATTGTGCTGGTGTTTATCATGCATTCTCTAACCTGAAAGATACACATTCAATTTATAAAGATATCCGTGATATTCCTCTGTTCCATTTTGCTGCAAGAGGAATTCTAATCCTTTTTTAGTTATGAGCATCCTATTCCTACTCCCAGTCAATAGGGAGCCCTTCTGGTCTCCATCTCTTCTTTACCCTTCTTTTCTAAGAGGAATTTTTTTTTTCATTGCCATGGTGGCCACAGACACCAGAGGAGCTGAACGGAATCCGTATAACCTGATACTTCTGACCCATCTCTAGATTAATCCTGGTCTTAAGGACTGAACACTGTTTAAAGGATTAACCCCAGAACAGCTTATATTCTAGCTCAGACATGACGGTACTGTCATAAAGGGCCTAAATCTCTAGTTCATTTAGAGACCTCCATGAGACCTCTGGAAGGGGGCTCTATGTAGCTCACAATCCCAAAAGAAACCACAATTACGTTACTTATTAAGAAATTTCAGAAGCATGCTCTTGTATTGGGATTTAAATAAACACTGGAGAATTGGATTAGAGGAATTTTTGTATGAAGAAGAATATTTTGAATATTTATTTTGAATACAAATGTAAATATTGAAATTTATGTGGCTTTTAGGGTCATAATGAAAGCAGAGGATAGAGTGCTAACAGATTTTAATAAATTTCTGTCACAGAATTGTTTCCTATTAGACTCAGGGCAAGACATTATCTTCTTTGAGGGTAGAGTCTCTATTCCCCAAATTATGAAAACACACATCTTATATCATCAAATAAAATATTATGTTTCTGGATTTCTTGAGAGGAGATTATATAAATCATTGTGAATATTATAATATCATTAAAAATTAAACCCAAGTATATAAATCCTTCTTTCAATGATATACTATCATTTTCTAATTTTAAAAACAAAAAGGAATTTAAGCAGTTCTTTAAATCTTTCCTCATATCCATTCAGACTCTGCCCAAACTAAGTGAGACAAATGAGGACCTATTTTCTTCTTAACTAAGAGCCACTCCTTAACGAAACATCTAGTTTTTTTTTTATTCCACAGTAAGAGTGTCTATAAAGTTGAAACAAACATGATTTGCAATTTCTAGAAGCTATTAATTGAGCAAAATATTTTAATGCCTTAAAAGTTAACATGTATTATTTATCTGGGTTATTTTCAAAAAATGCAATGTAAATGTTTATTATAACTCAATAATTTAAATGAAAACTTTGATTTTTATTACAGTATTACAAAGCTAAATCTATATCTAAGAAAGAGATTTTTAATGGTACTTGATTTATGCACATTTAATTTTTAGCCATAACCAAAATGATACCAATATCTTATTCATGTATGTGTCTACTCAAACTACAGTAGCAGAAATATTTTATACTAATATTCTGTCTACTAGAAAGAGCTATCTCCCAACTTTTAAACTAAAAATATGCCATCATGTTCTGAGTTGCTCTACAAATTTCATTTATAAAGAACTTTGACATTTAATTGGTATTTTAATAATACAAATACAGAAGACCATTTCTTTGATTTCCCTAATTGTTAATAAAAATTTAAGGATTAAAATTATTTTAAATATAGAAATATTTCAAGGCATTATAAGGATAGCAAATCACTAAACACAGTCTGATATTATTAAAAAGTGAATATCTTCATCATGACAATTTTCTTCTATTACAATGACTATCTTTATCTACAAAGACAGAAAATTCATCTATTCATTACTGGTATATACGATAGCAGCTCTATGCTTTCTCCCATCACCTCCACAACAACATCTCTAGTTAAAGGACATGTTTGGAACAGAAATTTATCATAATGAAATGATTAAATATAGTCCTGCCAATTATGAGAAAAGTCATACAATATGCCGTACCTGTGAGTGACCTGGATTCTATATCTTAGGGGCCATACGCTGCACCCTTTTGACAGATGAAAGGATTGATAAAGAAACCTCACTATTGGTGTCACTTACTAGATGAGCCCCAGAAAAATGACTTATTTACCACTACTACTTTTTTTAAAAAGGTTATTTTATACATGGAAATTCTTTCACTTTATAAGGGAGACAAGAATCAGTGTAGTTGAACTACAACATCAGAGTGTTCCCTATTCATGGCCCTCCTTCGTAGCTGGCACATGCTAGAAACTAGTAAAACAATCAGGAGGAAAGTTCTAATGTTCTGATTATCATGTCTACGAAGGGTCACTTTTCATAGCTAAAGCACTTTTTATTAACATTGTTTAAGGTTTCCTTTTGATTGAGGTGAAGAATGAAAAGATGAGCTCAATTAGTAAACATTCAACTGCCTTTAAAGAAAAAACTTGTATCATCAGGGCAGGAAAATCTTCCTATTACCTCCAGAAATATATTCAATAGCTAGAAAACTTAGTAAGGTAGAATAATTTCCAAGAAAGTTCGTTGGCCTAAATTCACAATGTATTAAATGCTTACAAGACTTATGCCCACTTGTGGCAAGATATGGAGTAATAATTTCATGCATACTGTATCTCCCACTGAGAGAGTCACTTACCTGTGTGAGGTCAGGAATGTCACCTTTATCAATACCAACTTGCTGTGGATTAAAAAAATAAGAAATTACTTAGTGGATTTTTGTTTTTCAGAGACGTAGTCTCATTTTGTCACCCAGGCTGGAGTGCAGTGCTGTGATCATAGCTCACTGCAGCTTCAAATCTCTGGGCTTAAAAGATTCTCCTGTCTCAGCCTCTTGAGTAGCTGGGACTACAGTCATGCACCACCACACCTGGCTAACTTTTAAATTTTTTGTAGAGATAGGGGTGGCTATGTTGCCCAGGCTGGTCTCAAACTCCTGGCCTCAAGCGATTCTCCTACCTCGGCCTCCCAAAGTGCTGGGATTACAGGCGTGAGCCACTGTGCCTGGCCCTTAGTGGAATTTTTAAAATTACTTTTTTTTTTTTTTACATTTAATGGAAGATCACCTACATGATTAGTTAAAACAACAGCCCAGTCTAATGTAAAAGAATCGTTACTTTACGTATATTGATTTCACTTTGAACATATACTTCTTATGCAGTTTTTCACTCAAAATAATAGAGCAAGATTTCATTAATAAATCTAGATATAACAAATATATAGAATTTTATTAGAATACAAAATAAATTGAAGCATAAAATTTAAAGGTATCCTCCATGATTAATGGTAGCTAAAAATGTAGATAGAACACTGCTTAGACTAAATTTAAATAATTATGTCCAGTAAGTGCTCTGGACAGGGAATGATTGTTTAGTTTTAATAAGCTGTTCAGGGTATAGTTTCCACCTTTTCTCCCATAGAGAGAACCACTTTGTTAGTTTCTTATGTATCCTTCCTGAGTTTCTTTACATATATTCAAGGAAATATGAAATATACAAATATATACTTATTTCCCCACTGTTATACAAATTACAGCATATTATATACAACAGACTTACATTTTTCACTTAACAATATATCTTAGAGATATATCCATACCCATACACAAAATATCCTCATTTTTGAAACAGTTGCATAGAACTTCCTTGTCCTATGGTTTATTTAATAAGTTATCTATTAATGGACATTAAAGTTGCTTCCAATCTCTTGCCATTGTAAGCAATGCTGCGCATACCATTTTGCATCTATAGTACACATTTGTAGAAGTGGAATTACTGGGTAAAAGCATATTCAAGTTGGTAATTTTGGTAGCGTGAGGATGAGGGAGAGAGAGAAAGGGAGTAAAAGCAAATATGGAAAAATATTAATAAATGTGAATCAATGAAAGAGCATATGTGTTCATTATACTATATCAATTATTTTGTAGGTTTGAAAATTATTCAAAGTAAAAAGATGGGGAAAAATACAAGTTATAAGTTCAATTCTATCACTTTATATAAATAATGAAATTGAGGTTAAAAGAAACAAAGTGGGTTAAACCAAAGTTTCTCTCCTTGAGAAATGAAGTACTTTGATTATATTGATGGAAGCGTAGACGCAAACACATGAAGCAAAAGTGCTGGGCTCCTACCAAGACAGTAAGGCAAACTTGAGATCGGAAAATTCATTTATATGTCAAATGCTGAACTACCTTCTTTCCTTTGCCTTTTCTATGGCTAGAGCAGGATTTCTCAGCCTTGTCACTATTGGCATTTTGGGAGGATATTCTTTGTTGGGGGCTGTCACGTGCATCATAAGAGGTTTAGCAGCAACCCTGGCCTCTATCTACTGGATGCTAGTAGCCACCGTCTCCCAATGTGACAACCAAAAATGTCTGTAGATGTTGTCCCCTGAGGAAGAGGTGGGGGCAAAGTCAATGCTGTTAAGACCACTGGTGTAGAGCACTTGCCCTCATCCCTCTGGATCAGCTTATGTTGGAATCCAGAATGCCAGACTTTACTGTCTAATGACTGAACTCTGGCTACAGACAGGTAAGCCATTGGTGCTTCCCTAAACTCACTTACATTATTACAAATTATAGAGATTATAAACTAAAACAACTTCATTCTGTTTACGTCCACATTTTAATACCTCTTTAGAGGATCCATTTAAAAAATATGAATATGAATGAAAGATGTATTTTTAAAATGAAAATATTATGAATCCTTAATACTGAAATCATTTTAGGAAACAGTGATGTTTCCATTAAATGGATAATTCTGTTAAAAGACATAACTTAGGAATTCCTCCTCAACATTTCTATTTTACTGCTCTGAACTTCTGAACCACAACGTAGTTGGAGGATTAGGTGAAGAGTATTACAAAAATCTCATCACTTTCTGTCTGCAAATATTCTGGAAGACATCATGCCTACGAGTCTGATATTTATTTTAGAACAGCAAACTAAGAATAACTTGGTTCTATAAAAAAGAAGGGCGTTTAACAGGAATACCTCTCATTAAATACTTTTTGTAAAATAAGGATTTTACAAAGTTCTAATTGTCTGTCTTAGGAGACTTCAGTATAAGAATCCAAGACATGGTAGGTTTTCTGTACTTCAAGCAGTTTCTTCAGGAAATTTGAATATTTCTATAGAAATTGTTCAACTACTCTACCTTTTCTTTAATAATGGACAACTCATTGTTAATATTTGCCAAATAGCCAATAAATATAGTTGTGTTTTTAAAATGTATTCTACAAGTCTTCTTTAGACTCTTCAGGCAAACAGTACTAACTATAGGGTAGTTATTGAGTATGAGTCCATATACAGACCACATGAGTGCTGTTTGGTAGAGAGAGGAGGTTTGTACATTTTCCGAAAAATGTCTGTATTAGCCAATCATAACCAAACCACTCAACACTAGTATTCAAACAGGGTTTGGATTATGAACAATGCAATTTAAATGTGAAAGAAAATCCAAATGGTTATGGTTATCCCATTGTGATTTAATGTTTATTCTATTAAAAATAATTTTGTAAATTAGTATCCATTCTATGAAAAAGTCTTAATCACAATCTTCAAATAAAAAAATATTTATTATCCAGTCATTTAAAGACAGACTCCCAAAATGACATCTTATTTCTGTATATTTCCTTCTCAATGGCCTGAATTGGGCCTGTGCTAACATGAGGTGTCAACAGACAAAAAGTAAAAATTTTACATGTCAAAATAAAACCTTGGTACCAGCAAAAAAAAAATTTCGAGCAATTCTATCCTTCCTTATATAGACTGTCAACATCGATAAACCCATGAGGAAATACACATGAACATGCTTTAATGTATAATTTATAGGAGCTAATCTTTATCTTTTGTTTCTCTTATTATATTTAAAAAAGATTTTTATTCTTATTATATGCTATATGGGTCAAAGCTCAAGAATCAGCATTTTGTGATATTATTTTGGTCTTAGAATTTGAATGTCACTATTATTACTCCTGTGAACAAAAGGGATTCGAAAGACAATGCATGGAGTATAGTACTTTTGAAATCACATGTATAAAATGCTTATTCTTACAATAATATTTTCAAAATGACAAAAATAGCAAAAACATGGGGCCAGGCGTGGGCTCACGCCTCCTAGCACTCTGGGAGGTTGAGGCGGGGGGATTGCTGGAAGCCAGGAATTTGAGACCAGCCTGAGCAAGAGTGAGACCCCATCTCTACAAAAAATAGAAAAACTAGCCAGGTGCAGTAGTGAGCACTTGTAGTCCCAGCTACTCAAGAGGCTGAGGCAGGAGGATCACTTGGGGGCAGGAGTTTGAGTTACAGAGAGCTATGATGATGCCACTGCAGTCTAGCCCGGGCAACACAGGGAGACCCTGTCTCAAAAAAAAAAAAAAAAAAAAAAGCAAAAACATGGCAGGAATGTCCCACATCCACAGCATTGTATGTTTTTTGTCAAGCCTCAGAACCTCTTTCACACAACACTTTGGTCCGTCTCTAGCAAACAGTTAGCAGAGATGTAAGATAAAAATCCATTTTTCATCCTGCCAAAGGACTGTAATAACTATGTCATAATTTCCAGTATCAATATAAATCAATAATTGGATTTCATAAGAGAAAACATCAACTTAGAGATAACCCCAGGAACACCAAATATATGATTACATATTTATTGTGATTAGGTATAAAGAAATATCCTTAAGAAATAATTTGTAAACTTTATATTAATAAAATGAATTATATCTTTTGATTTTTCATTGTGTTTAAATCACTGAGGAGGTAAAGAAGTCAGAATTTATGATTTATTATTTACACAGTAAGAACAATGGACGGGCTTTTCTAAAGGCAAATCTTGGGTTCAATAAAAAGGAAGCACTTTCTTACAATAAAAGACAGCCATTAGCTGGGATGGAGCAATGGACCACGCTGCAAAGCAGCAGATGAGCTTATTGTCCACGACACTTTGATGTGAATGCAGAATGCTCATTTGACTGGGATGCAGGAGTGAGTGGGAAGCGGGATGAGTCACTTCCAACCCTAATACACTGACTCTGTGGCAGAATGTCTCGCGATATTTTACCTTCTATTATGTACTCCAGATACAGGAGTTAATGTTTTAAAAATTATATTGCCAACACAACTTAATATTACTTACCTCTGCAACCTTGAGAAATTCAGACACCCGTGTCATTCTAGTTAGAAATCGTTTGTAAATTTCTAGAGCATCTTTACACTGTCCTTTCTTCATTTCAAAAAACTTTTCTACAAGAGATAAAGAGATAAGCAATTGGAAAAGAGTATTATATTCTATTTTCTTCTAAGCTTACGTTAAGCTTACTACTTAAAGCTTAAATTAATGTTTGAATCAAAACACTTGGCACTAAAACCTATACGAGGAAATAAAATACCTTAACAAGGGGAGCCTGAATAGTTTAAGAAAGACAAGATAATCATGTGTCCCACAGGAAACAACTGAAATAATGAAAATAGAATTACAGTAGAGGAATATATGAACTGTCACAACAGGTTAAATTCATGATCCATATATCCCAATATTCTATCTTGGAAAATAACAGCAAATTCTTTCTCATAATCTCTGAAGTTATGACTGCATTCCATAGCATCTTTATTTTATTAGTTCACTATAAATGATTGATATATTATAAAGCAACGGTCCCCAACCTTTTTGGCACCAGGGACTGGCTTCATGGAAGACAATTTTTCCTTTGCGGGGGCGGTTTCAGGATGATTCAAGCACATTACATTTATTGTGCAGTCAAACCTCTGTGCTAATGATAATCTGTATTTGCAGCCTCTCCCCAGCGCTAGTCAGCTCCACTTCAGATCATCAGGCATTAGATTCTCATAAGGAGCAACCTAGATCCCTCCCATGTGTACTTTACAGTAGGGTTCGCGCTCCTGTAACAATCTAATGCCTGCGCTGACCTGACAGGAGGCGGAGTTTATACAGTGATGCATGCAGGGGTGGGGGGAGGCGCGTAAATACAGATGAAGCTTCGCGTGCTCACCTGTCACTCACCTCCTTCTGTGCGGCCGGGTTCATAACAGGCCATGGACCAGTACCAGTCTGTGGTCCCGGGGTTGGGGACCACAGCTATAAAGTAAAAATCTGTAAACCCTCCCGAGTTAAAGAATTCTTTAAATCTTCTATGTTCTGTATAAATTGATACTTGATTTTATTGGTAATAAATTATTTTTTTCAAACATTAGGGTGAGTCTTTTAGTTATAAAATAGTAGAGTTTTGTGAAAAACATTTGGTTTACCAGACCCTTCATGACTTTCTAGTCTGTAATCATGTCTTCTTTCTCAACGTTTTGCTTTCTGGACAGAAAAACAGAGGATCATTTCACTGTTCTCTTTTGCACTCCCAAGACTAGAATTCATAGTCATTGAGGTACTGCGGCTCCATTATAATTCCAGTATGAGAGTGTTTTTCCCATACATGCCTTGAAGAAAACTAGCACTTTTTATCAGTGTTTTCGTCATTCGTTCATGGACTCGGTGAGCCGATAACCGACGTTGCAGATGGAGACACAGTAGGCCAATGTCTACAACAGCTCCCAGGCAACTCAGGATTCTACCTGATGGACCAGAATCTTCTTTTTAAGTTCATTATTTTATATATGCACATGGTTAAACACATGCTATTTTTATATTTTCTCATACTTGAGAGTTATTTCATTCAGCATGTAATTTTACTACCTCAAAAGTATTTTTAATTTTCGCAAGGAAAGTTTAATAACATATAATTACACAAAGAACTGATTATCAAGAGCAGCTACTCATTACCTTCTGTTGACAGTCTTTGGGTAATTTTACTTTTAACATGGACCTCCCCTGTAGGGTATTTAAGGGAAGTGAAAAGATCAAGAAAACAAACACGTACTGTTTTCTACTTGTTAAGATTTGAGAGAAAGAGTCTTTTTAAAAAAATGACCAAATCTGAGGATATTTTCTTGATCCACTCTATCTTGTTTTCTAATGCTATACATAGACTCATGGTGTTATAAAGGAGCAAATACTTTTTAGTTTAAAAATTTGAAAATAAGGACTTATTCTAGTAAAACATACTTCTCTATTTATTTATTTTTGAGACAGGGTGTCCCTCTGTCACCCAGGCTGAAGTGCAGTGGCATGATCATAGCTCACTATAGCCTCGAACTCCTAGGCTCAAGTGATCCTCCTGCCTCAGCCTCCTGAGTAGCTAGGACTACAAGCATGTACCACCATGCCTGGCTAATTTTTATATTTTTTATAGAGACAGGGTCTTGCTATGTTGCCCATGCTGGTCTCGAACTCCTGGCCTCAAGCAATCCTCCTGTCTCAGCCTCCCAAAGTGCTGAGATTACAGGCATGAGCTTCTTTCTCTCTTCCTAAACAATCTTCACATAAATTTCTTCCAAATATATAAATTACTTCTCTTTAGTATAATCTAAGTTTATATTTTTGCACCATTATGTTCAGCAGAACACAAAAGAGAAATCAAACTAAATAATCTCAATTTCCATTTAGAACCAGTACTCCAAAAGTTTAAGCAACTTTTCTCTGTCTCTGCTGGATGCTTTTAAAATGGTTTGTATCTTTCATAATAATTTAGGAGTCAGCAATAGAAAACATTCAATAATTGTGGCTTTAGGTTATAATCTCATAATTGTTTCTATAATAGTGGTAATGACAGAAAGGCAACATGTACGATTTTACTGATACAGGCACAGCTATGAGGTTCCCTTTCCCCTTAGAGACCTGCCCAGGGTTAGGGAAATTAACACTTTTACCGAGGGATTGGTTGCTCCAAAACGAGGCTCTACCTCTCTTTCATATTAAGGATAACATATGTTGATTTTCAGTATTTGAAATGATCAAATTTGATGTTTGCAATATCAGTCTTTGTAAAACTGTGGTAAGTTACCTTTGAGATATTAGTGTTAACGTTCAAAGGATAATTGTCCTAGGAAAGAAACCAAATGAAAAGGAATCTCGTCTCTGAGAGACAAACTGAGAGTTTCTACATGGAAACTACATGGACTATTATTAATGACCATTAGTAAGGAAAACAGCTTACTTACAAGTCAGAGTTTTCTTACAGCAATAAAACATTTGTGAAGATTTGTAGCACCAATATGGATTCCAACATTAGATGTAAAGTATTGGTTATGAAGTCCTTAATTAAAATTAACCCACAACATATTTTTAAGGTTAATTCCTAGCACTTTCTAGTAAACAAACAAAACACATACCTGCCTTAAGACAATTAGGATACTGTCTTGCATGTCTATCTTCTAGATTGTCATGTTAACGAGAGCAGTTTTCACAACAATGCTGAATAAAGGCCGCTTAAGACTAGAATGTTTTAAGGCAAAAATATACACTTCCATTGCTTTAGAAAGTGAGGCCCTTAATATAAAAAGGTACAATTCTCCTTTTCTACTTCTAAGTTAGACTATCATTTTAAAATTTAATGAAAAGATTATGTCTTGAATGATTATTTTAATATGAAGAGAAAACACATTCTTAATACAATCTATCTGTGAAGTCAACATAAGTAAAGCAGAGCAGCATTTCAGTAGCTGTTCAAGACAAGAGAGAAGGATCACAAGGCTGAACATGTCTAATTACTAAATGAACTGTAAAGACACTAAATCTGACATTCTTGAGGCAGAAGTGGGAATGAAACAAGGGACACTGTTGAAAGAATATGAGAATGAGTCAACAGAACTTCATTTCTGACTGGCTGTGGGTTTAAGGAAGATGAACAACTGAAAATGAAGTGAGGTTTTAGGTTTAAAAGACTAATTATATATAAACAAAAATAAAGAGATTAGGAAGGGTACGTTTAAAAGTTCAGTTTTAGAAATTCTGAGTTTTAGGTAAGAATGTGGTATCTAAATTTCAGTGGCTACAAAAACTAAGACATGCAATACTGAAGCTCAGAGGAGAGGTAAGGACTGAGTCCCATTTGGGACTCATCATAATGGAGATGACAGGTTTTCCAATGAAGAATATACATAACAACTAGACAAGAAGATGGCTAGAAATGAACTTTAGTGAAAGGTTATATTTATGACAGAAAGGAAGAGTAAGGTCAGCCAACCAAGGAGAACAGGAAAGTCTATCCTATCCGGCTTACCAATAAAATCTCCAACCTGAAATACAGATATATTTGGTTTTGAACTTTGTATGTAAGAGCAAGAACCTTTCCTCACTAAAGGCAAAATCTCCAAAAACACTTGTGTTTGATGATGATTAGCTCACCCAACCTCCATTCTATTCTCTTCTAGATTCATGTGAAGCCAGGGTTCTGGACATGAATTTAGTTCTACAAATTATACAGACGTGTGGGAGATCTGGAAGGTCAAACTGAGGCAGGAGCCATCTTCTTGTATCTTTTCAGCTATTGCTTTTGACAGATGAGATCATAGAAATAGGAGATTATCCTTCAGCAGCATTCTATTGTCCACTCTCTGACTTCCTGGGTTTTGAGGAGTAATAGTTGAGGTCACAGACACTTGATCTGACTCCTTAATTCCTGGATTTTATAATAGCTTCGGGTGTCTGTTCTCTAGCTTCCTAGGGTTGCAGGGCTGCTCTGGTGGTAGCAGCAGCTTCTTGTTTTTAGTGTACCTTAAACTGGTAGATTCAGAAGTAGTAGCTTCTCTACAGTATGAGTACTTACTATTCTGGGAACCATTTCAGGAGGCCGAGCCTAAAACCAGTTCCTGCAGGCTTCCAATATTTATACAAGCACCTAATGCTCTGTGTTAAATTTCTTTCTATTTAGAATATGTAGAGTGGTTACTGTGATGACCAACTGCAACTATTGGAAAATTGGATTTTTGTAGTCTGTCTGTGTAGGAGCAAAATAATTACTTATCACCAATGGTTTTCTGAAATGAGCACCTGAAATGAAGCTTATAAGACCAAGTAGCTGCTGGCATACACCACCATGATGGGGACAGGCAACTAGAACTGCGGGGTGGATGGCTGTTCCTGACTCCCCTAGAGAGTTTTAAAAGGAAAATGACAACACAGGGTTTTGAATTATTGGTTCTGGCATAGTCTGACTGTGGTGGTCCAACATTGCCCTAAAATAATCTTATTTCTTGCAGCCACAGGGTGGTCATAGCTGAAAGTCAGATAAGTGTCTAATCTTGTGAGTTGCTGAATTTAGCATATGTGGGTAAGTTATATTTACAGCCTCATCATGGTCTCCTTTGTGAGAGTTAGGGCATTTATTCAGAAA